CCCCAAAATGTAGTCTGGCAACTCCTGTGAGGAGGAAGAAAGCCAGAGATGTGTGGAGCAAGCTGACAACATCTGCGTTGGCACGGAGTGGTGCTGGGCACCAGCACGAAGCTGCCCAGTGTCATTCTGGGGATTGGGGAGTGCATTTGAGAAGTGCCTGCCAAGAATAGCAAGTTTCCCCAAATCTCCTTCCATCTCATGCATCCAAATTATTGTGCATTTCTGCAGTCTCTGCAGAACCGAGGTGACAGAGTTAATACAGCTGTAAGTTATGAAGTGTAAGCTTGGAGAAGCAGGCACATAAGGGAAATACATACACATACTGACGTACCTATCATTTGCAGCAAAGCAAAATTAATTTGATAGGAACATATGAGACTGTAGGGAAGAGAGATTCTGTCTAGGAAATAAGGAGAGTATTACTGGGCATTAATAGTAGAGGCCATTTTCACTAACTTTAACGTGTTTAAAGGGCTTTTGTATTTTTTGTCTTAAATATACTTTTTCTTTCAGTAAATATGACAATATTTACAAGGGATTTTATAGGTTTGGTTCTGACCTGCTTTTTTAAAAATTTTATTCTCGTTCAAGTCTTCAATTGAAAATTACAGGCTTGGCACCTGTAGTCCCAGCTACTTGGGAGGCTGAGGCAAGAGAATCACTTAAGCCCAGGAGTTGGAGGTTGCTGTGAGCTGTGATACCATGGCATTCTACTGAGGGTGACAGCTCAAGGCTCTGTCTCAAAAAAAAAAAAAAAAGAAAAGAAAATTACAGGTTTTTACAGATTCTATATAGATTCTCTAGAGCTGTATTTCAAAAGTTTCATATGGGCAAATTTATATGGAAACCCCAAAGAGTAAGGAATTCACTCTGCTCAGAAAGGAACATAGGAAAGGGATACAAGGAGAAGTGACATTTTAATTGGCCCTTAGGAATGAGAAAGATTTCACCAAAGAATCAGTAGCAGAAAGGAATTCTAGGCAGAGGTGATTGCCTTATGAAAGCACGAATACACATAGCATTTCAGGAGTAGCAAGTAGTGGCTC